AGCTGCGTCCTCGTGGAGCTGAGCCATTTGAAGCTCATAGTTCTGCAAAGACGAGCAAATACGATTGATAAACCAACGAGGAAAGCATACTTACTGGTATGAAGTAACTATCGACATTCTCTCGCAACGACTGATTATCAGTCCTGATATTCGCAAGCGTGGCCTCTTGCCGTCTGAGAATCCCCTCGCTCTCGCCATGATAGATGCGACGAGTTCCTTCGATGATCCGATATTTCTTGTGGACGTCTTTAAGCTGCGTATACTCAAACGAATCATTCATTGCGAAATTTTTTCAAAGAGTACCCGCTGCTGATTTGAGAACTCCCCATTGGAGCTTCCAGACGATCCAGGCACTGGCGATGGCGCCGGCGACGGTGTAAACCGCGCCGGCGAAGGAGTTTGTCCTCGCATTCCTCCTATAACGATCTCTTCCTGCGAAGGCTCATCAAAGAATGTCGAATCCTGGACAAGATCGTAGAATCGAGAAGAGTTATCTAAACGGCGCTTACAGTATCATCACCTACAGGCACTTTGAAGGCGGTCGACCGTGCGCCAGTGAGCTCATGGGCGCGCGCCCTAGCTGGAAGGGAAGAACCCTATTTTCACAGGTTGTTCGCTGACGTGCTTGCGCGCCAAAAGCTGACTGTGTATTATTTCAAACATAACAACGATTAGCGATGGTCGATTAAGAGTAATCCGTTTCTTTTATTTCTAAAACCCTCGCCTCTGGCCATTTCCATTACTCTCGTCTTCCTTCTCTTGGCGGAGCGGCGCGGCTTCCTTGGATTCCTGGTACGCACCGCATTCTCCAAGCTCTGTGTGGATTCTCGATCGCGATAGGAATGCGATCGTCTTCCGCCGCGCGCTGGAAATCTTCTTTGCATGCGAGATTTCTCCTCTCTTTTCTTCGCGATCTTGCCGATCGAGGCCGGGAAACGCCATAGCATCGGCGCCTTGTGCTCGGATCGATCGCTCTGTCTCTCCGGATGAAGATCCTCTCTTTCTCGCGAAATATCGAAATATCGAGCTAATCTTTGGGAATTTCCAGGTCGTTCGATCGCAATGAACGCGCTCTTCCTCCCGGGGATTATCCTCATGTGGTCGCTGCTGCCGCCTTGCTCCAGCAAGCAAGTGCTCAAGGTAGGGGGCGAGATCGGCTGGACGCAATTCAACATCTTTAGCGGCCAGACTCCCGACTACGCTGCCTGGGCATCCAAGACCACTCTCGTCCCAGGGGATGACATCGGTATGTGGAACTTAACTCTCGCAACAAAACGATTCATCGATACGAAGTTTCTAAAAGATCTAGCAGTCTTCCTGTTTTTTCCACAGCTCCACAACATTCACATGTTCCGGAACCATAGCGAGTACGTGAATTGCAACTTCACCGAGAGCACGCTCCTCGACGAAGGGCTTTCCGGCGTGTATACTGTAAGTTCTTTCGATTTGGAGTTCTTTTTGTCGCAGGACTTAAGTATACGTGATTGATCAATCGGGAACTGATTTTTCGTTGTTGATAGTGGACTGCTCCAGCGCCTGGAACTTACTACTTCGGATGCAGCAAGGACTACTACTCACACTGCCAGCTGGGCCAGAAGTTCGCGATCACAGTGGTGGAGCAGTCATCCTTGATCCATCTTCCTCCGGCCGGAAGCCCAGCAGCTGCCGCGGCATCTCCCTCGGACGATTCAAGTCCAGCTGACAATGGTTGCGCCACAGCTCCCAGCGACGATGACGACGACGACACGTCCCATGACTCCGACAGTTCTTGCTCGCCATGGCTGGACAGTCCACCAGATGACACCCCACTTCTCTCGCCGGTGAGCGCTCGCCACCATCCGGACGCGTCCGTGAATCCTCGACGAGTCCCGGATTTCGGCACGAACACCAAGCGTCGTCCTCCGCCCCGCTCGTCTTCGGTAAGCTTCCAAAGTTTTTTGCGATCGATCGATAGATCATCAAGATTTTTCGTTTCTTCCAGGCTCGCGAGTTTCACGCCCGCGCTTATGCCATTCGAGGCTTGATCGTCTTCGTCCTCAACCTTGTCCTCTAGGAAGTCCGCGCTAAAGAAAAACTGGGAAGAATTTTGACCGTCTGTTCGTATGGAGAATATGCGTCAACATGTAAGAGGATATGCTCCACGTAGAATATACTATGTAGATTCGCGGGAGGTCACTTTGATCCTCGTCCCATGACAGGAACCAACGAACCTGTCTAATAACGAACAATTTGCTTTATTCCATTCTTAACAGGGACCATTCGTTTCCTTTCCTTTGCGCAAGAGCTCACATTGGAGGAAAGTTTTTAGGCTTTGGCGCTCTGGTTCTTTTGGGGCAAGAAAGAAAGAGATTGAGAGCGATCGAATGCGGCAGGGAGGATCGGCCTTCTTGATCTTGGAGCAAGAAAGGAGGAGGATCATCCGGCCGGGGCCGCGCGATCAAATGCCGGGGAGATCGAGGTCAGCGCCAAGAAGAGCTTGCTGCTCTTTGTACCCCCCTTTTTCTCCTCTGGTGCTCTCGATCGCGCTCACGCTTGTCACGGCGATGAGACTTGGATCGTCGTCGGCGGTGGGATTTGGGGTGAACTGGGGAAATATGGCATCGCACAGGCTCCCCGCCGAGGTTGTGCTGCGAATGCTCAGCTCCAGCAATATCACCAAGCTCAAGCTCTTCGATGCCGACTCGAAGATCGTCGGTATGTTTGCCAACAGCGATGTGGAGCTCATGGTCGGGATTCCAAACGAAATGCTGGACAAGATCGCGAACAGCCCCCGGGCGGCGCTGGATTGGGTCAAGGAGAATGTGACCCAGCATCTCCCCGAGGTGAAAATCAGGTAGTCTTTTCTTCCAAGATCAAAGTAGCGGTTATTTTTCTTCTTTTTTTTCCTTCTTCGTTGCATGCTGGGGTTTGTTTCTATATTTTTTCGTGGTTTTGATGTTTCCTTACTGCATGGTCGCGGTTTGATCGTAGACACGAGTGATGGATGTGAAATTTTAGTTTTTTTTTTCTCTCTTCACCGATCGATGGATCGATTGAAAACTTGCTAACTTCGTTGCTCTTTTTTTTCTTTCGTTCCAGATATGTGGCAGTCGGGAACGAGCCCTTTCTCAAGGCATACAACGCAACTTACGAATCCGTCACCCTCCCAGCGCTGAGAAACATCCAAGGAGCGCTGGACAAGCTCAACTCAGCGGAGCCGATCAAGGCGGTGGTTCCTCTTAACGCCGACGTTCTCAGCGATGGCGGCTCCCCATTACCATCGGCGGGACTGTTCCGGCCCGACATCCAGCCGCTCATGGACACGCTCGTCTCAACTCTCGCCAAGCACCAAGCTCCCTTCGTCGTCAACATATACCCGTTCCTCAGCCTCCACCAGGATCCACACTTCCCGCAAGAGTTCGCGTTCTTCGACGGCAGCACCACCGGCGCCGCCGCCATCCACGACTTCAACGGCAACACCTACACAAACGTCTTCGACGCGAGCTACGATCTCCTGGTCGCAGCGCTCAACAGGAACGGCTTCCCGGACATGAAGATCATCGTTGGAGAGGTCGGGTGGCCGACGGACGGGGACGTGAACGCGAATCCAGCCAACGCGCAGCGCTTCAATCAGGGGCTTCTCGCGCACATCACCAGCGGCAGGGGGACGCCGCTCCGGCCCAACCAGGAGCTCGACGTTTACCTCTTCGCGCTCATCGACGAAGATCAAAAGAGCATCCTTCCCGGCAACTTTGAGCGGCACTGGGGGATCTACACTTACGACGGCCGAGCAAAGTACGGGCTGGACGTGCTGGGAACAGGCCTCGCCAACTTTTCCAGCGACGTCCAGTACTTGCCGTGGCGGTGGTGCGTGCTCAATCCCGAGGGCGACATGACCAAGCTCGCCAAGAGCGTCGACTACGCTTGCTCGCACGGTGACTGCACAGCGCTCGTCTATGGCGGCTCTTGCAACCACATTGGCGATCAAGGCAACGCGTCGTACGCTTTCAACAGCTACTACCAGATCAACAACCAGGAGGAGGAGAGCTGCGTCTTTGACGGCCTGGGGATGATCACCACCGCGAATCCATCCACCGGGGGATGCGAGTTTCCAGTCCAGCTCAATCCGCTCGCCTCGTCCTCGGCGTCTTCCACCGCGACGCTCATGTCCTCCGAGAGCAGCAGCGTCGGGCAGTCGATGCTCCTGGCGCTGCTCCTGGCAATCGCGCAGCTGGTGCTGGATTTCGACAAGCTTGCGTCGGGATGGATTTCATCGAGGAGGAAGAAATCCAAGCTTTCGAAGTTGACGACTAACGGGCAGGCTACGATCACGAAGACGACGAAGCCCGGCATTTGCAGGATATACTAGGTATCTTCTATAGAGAAGTTTGTCATGCTAAACAAATGGAAGATGACACTTGACGTGATTATCACGCAAAGTTTTGATGAGATTTTCGAATCTTCTAAAGGTAAACGTTAGCTCAGGAAGAACTCAAGATTTTTTAACCTTCTAAAGGTATCTTTAAGCTCATGGATTATATAGTTAAGTTTGATCAAGACTAATATTAACTCAAACGATTGATTGGTGGTCACTGGATAAGAGTAACATCCACGCAAGGCGGGACCATTTCCACGTAGCGTGCCGCCAGCGTACGATACAAATAGCTACGTCACTAACGTGTCGAGACTACGCTACAGTACGCGCACGTGTCGCCACATATATGGCCGGAATTCATTTCTCTGCTATCTTTAACTAATAAACGTTGGCCCGCGTTACGAGAATCCCCCTAATTTTAGCGGCATCGGCTTATCCACAGGAATATGCCTTTGAGCTTATCCAGTTTTACCCCAATTTGTGGGCGTTTGGGTAAACTCAAACCCTTTTCGCCCCTTTTTCTTGGCAGAGTATATAAGCACGAGAGGAGTGATGCCTTTCTAGGGCAACGATTTCCTTGCGTTGTGTTGATCGAGAGAGGGAAAGCGAAGGGAGCGAATTCGTGAGAAGGAAGAGGGCAAGGCGAATGGCGACGGCGGCGGTGGGTTCTTCCCAATTCTCGGGGATGGATGTCTCTCGGACGATCCAAACCCCGCAGCAGCAGCAGCCCCGGCAGGGATGGAGGAATGGGCGGTCGAATTTGCGGCTGCGCGCGTCGGCGGCGGCGAGCGCGAGGTATGGATCATCGCCGGTGGCGCCCTGCGAGTCCTACTCGATGCTGGGCATCCGGCCGGGCGATTCCAAGCAGGATCTCAAGCGCGCCTACCGGAGGCTCGCGCTCCAGTATCATCCGGATGTTTGCAAGGGCGATCACTGCGCGCCCAAGTTCCAGGAGATCAACGCGGCGTACGAGCTCCTCCAGAAGATCATGGACGGGAGCGCCGTGGCCGCCCCGGTGGACGATCGCTACTACTACAGCGACGACGAGGAGGATTTGGAGGAGTACAAGTCGGGGTGGGAGGGCGCGTGGGTGTTTTGATCCCGGCGACTTTTCCCCTTTATTCTTCTCCTCGATCGATCGTCTCGTGTAAATAGGGAGGGACGGGAAGATCTCTGTACAGTGGGGGGCTATCGGAATTTTTTAGGCAGCCAGGAAGAACAACTTTGCTTGTATAGAAACACACCAAAAAGACTTGGAATCGAAGGAAGGAAACCAAGAAAGAGATTTCTTTCTCTTATGAGGTTATCTGTCTAGAACACACTTTGATTGAATGACGAGAACTCTTTGATTGATTGAAAGGTCGCTATCTTTCTTTTTCTCTTTTGGTTTAAGTTATCCCTTGGGATGGGGACAAAAAATCCACGTATATGAAAGACTGGGTTCTCACGCTGCCGTGTGTTTAGACCACACGGATTAAAGACTCGATCAACAGAGGAAAACGTGGACAACGTTTACACTTTGTAGCACTTCCAAATATTCTGTTTGTAACGTTACAAACAAAAACGAAAAAAGATAAAATAAAATAAAAATATATATATAGTGGAATTAGCTGGATCCTAAACCATGCTTTGAAAGGACCAAGCAAACTATTGGAACTTAGCAAAGTTTAACTGGCCAGAAATCAAGGAATAATTTACACTATATTTTTAAAATATTGGACTCACTTCATGTCGAGCCACATTTTTCTTAAGAATCATAGACATGAGCAAAGTAAATTTTTCTACTATATTGTAATTGTTGTTAGATCTTGTAATCATTTTGAAGGTAATTTACCGGTCGCAAACCTTAATATTTGCAGTGACCTGATAGTTCATGCCACCCAGTGAAGCCTCAGTCACGGTTCCAGTTGCTCCAACATAAATCCCAGTGCCGCCAAGAATCGCATATGTGGTGGAAGAACCTGGTGCAGAACCTCCGGCATCTCCCATGAACTCCACCCGGTTGTTCCCACACTTGATCTGGGAAAACAGGAATTCCAGAGCTCCAGTGTCGGCGATCACACCTTGGTAGATGCATCCGGGGTTTCCACTAAGAGGAGCAGCAAATGTTTGGACGGAGCCATCACGATCCATGGCACCAGTGGTTGGAACACCATCGGTTGGAACAACTTGGAACAAGTTTTGGCCAAAAACAAACTGGGCGGAACCTTGGATGGTGTAGCTCTTGCACTGGAATAGAAGATTTAGAATCTATTGCAATTGGACTTTACAATACTTACCAAGTTTGCAGATACATAAGAAGAAAAGAGAGCAACAGCGAGGGCCAAAACAAGCGCAGCCTGGGATGCCATTACAACTGAAAAAGCAACCTTTAAACTTTACTTGAGATGGTAAACAATGTTTATATATTAGTGTGGGAAGAAAATAAAATCCTTTACATTGGTGAAGCTAACATCTCCAAGTTGATTGACAAAAAGAAACTTCTGATTGCCAATCAGAAGCAATCATAGAAAAATTATACATTGTATATGCTTTGGTCAAACTAACAATGTCTGAAGATATTCTGTTAAGTTTTATTATTTAGATTCACAAAGCAAACTTAGCTATACTAGTCGCAGATCGCAATTGCTCCGAGTCGACATGGATAAAGCCCCGGTAACTACTTTGAAGTTCTTTCTTTCTTCTATTTTTCTAGTAATTCGATGCAGGGACCGAGGAGCTCACCTCAGAAATGAATCTCGAACGTACACGATTGTCGTATCGTATTGGTGCAATCGGATGGTTTTCCCGCTAACAAGAAGAGCTTTGACCAAGCAGCGAACCGTCAGTCTGAAACCAGAGAATGAGATTCCGGAACTGCCTGATGCGATCAGTCCCATCTTTCCAGATGACGAGGAAGAGTCTTGAACTGATGCAAATCAAACTCTGGAGGAGCGTGTTTTGTTTCTAGTGTCTTCTCATTCATGAAGACTTGTGAGCAGGACGATGAGATGAACTTAGTCAGGGAGATTGTCAGTTCTTTTTCGGCTCCTGCTCTACCTGGTATGCATTGTTTCTCTGCATTCATTCACCAACAGCACACTTTCAACTCCTGTTGTTAAGTTTTTCATTTTAAAAGGACAAGGCAGAGAACGAAGATCAGATGAAGCGCGAGAGGGAGACTATGGAGGAATTTCTGAGATCAAGGTATCCTTCCCATCCACGCCTTGCGGGAGATGTCGAGAAGCTGAAGGAGCGTGTAGATTCACAAACCTGGACGAACTATGCAAAGTTCGCTACAGTCGCATATCGCAATTATATGTCGCGCCTCTGCTCCGCTGCTCCGCATAGCTCTCTTGACATGGGTATTTTCAGCTCCTTTCTTTCTTCTATTTTACTAGTGCAGTGATCGAGGAAATGAAACTCGAGTGCGAGAAGCGAACTGCCTGATTTGTTCAGTCCCATGTTCCCAGATGACGAGGAAGAGGAGTTAACCGTGGAATGGTACATATGCATTGTTGCTAAGCATTCATTTGCCAGCACTCTTTTCAAACTGACTAGACATTGTTCAACTTCCAAACTGAGGAGTCTCAGATAATCAGATTGCTCTAGCTCTTTGGTGTGCACTCGGATTTTGGAGCGGGCGTGCTACACTGATCTTCGTAAGAGGATCTCATGGCGATGTGGAGAAGTAAGCACAGATTGGTTTTGCTGTTGGGGGTGCCTGAGATTGGCAAGAGCGCCTTTCTCATTACAACTCTAGATCTACCTCCAGCTGATGAAGGTCAGGAAGGCGGTAGCGTTTCAGAATAAGAGTGGTCATCTCTATCTCTTCGAACCGCAGCACACTGAGAAGATGGCATGTATTGGCGCGAGGGCTACAGATGTTTCGCCCTTGAGCAGCAAGGGCGTCCTCTTTGACCCGGAACTTCACTGGCTTGTGGACGGCGAGCTGGTCGATCCTCCAGCATTCAAATGCAAGGTTCTATTGGCAGCCAGCCCAAAGTTGACGGACTTTCAGGAGTTTGATAAGGATGGCCGCACTCAGCACGTGTTTCTACCGGTTTGGTCTGCTGCCGAGATTGCTCTGGCTTGGCAGGAAGTATTTGATCCTGTCCATTTCATGTCTGAGTCATCCCACTCCCAGGATGAAGTCGGAAAGCTCGAGTTTGAAGCAATAACAGAGTTTGACACTCGAGGTGGTGAAGGAAAGGCACCAGAAATGGGGGAGGGCTCGGCCCGGTTTGTGTTGGAGAGGCCGCACACTGACCTGGATTCCTTGGTCGCTGGCTTGAATTCTGTCCAGCAGACAGTAGAGGCAATAGGGAAGCGGATCATAGTCGGTGATCACCCGTCTCACAAGATGGTACACCAGAGGGTCAGACCAGGATTCGGTGGCTACGAGTGCATGTTCGCGTCTCCATACCTCGTCGATGCAGCGGCGAAGAAACTCAACGAGTCTAGGGAGCTGAGTACGTTCCAGAGCTTCAAGACCATGGATGCAAGTGCCACATTTTCCGGAAAGAGCTAAAGATCAAGCGAGCCAAAGCTGTGAAAGACGGGCTCAAGTGTAGCGGAATGTTTGAAAGTGATGGAGCACACAAGTATAGCTACCTCGTCGGAACTTTATCGGGAAGTATTGGCTACCAAACTTGGAAGAAGCAAAATGTCAATGACAGTCAAAGAAAAATCTTTGATTGCTAATCTTATGGTCAATGAATGTCAATGGTCCTCTTATTATTCTCTTGCATATTCTGTTAAGGCTATGTTAAATCTACCATATTCGGCTACAGTTAGTTAGGTCTAGGGTTGAGGGTTTTGTGCCGCGATTTCTAGGGCTCGAGAGGGCGAGGGGCGAGCGGCGAGAGAGAGACAGCCATGGCGACGCCGGATCACGCGCGCGAGCCGTGCCCGGACCGCATCCTCGACGACATTGGCGGCGCATTCAGCATGGGCGCCATCGGCGGCTCGGTCTACCACTTCATCCGCGGCGTCTACAACTCCCCGCGAGGTGAGCGCCTGCTGGGCGGCGCGCAGGGCGTGCGCATGAACGCGCCGCGCGTCGGCGGTAGCTTCGCCGTCTGGGGCGGCCTCTTCTCCACCTTCGATTGCACCATGGTCTACTTGCGCCAGAAGGAGGACCCCTGGAACTCCATCGCCGCGGGTGCCGCCACCGGCGGCTTCCTCCAGCTGCGAGCCGGGATGAAGAGCGCCACCAGGTCGGCGATCTTTGGCGGCGTGCTGCTCGCGCTCATCGAGGGCGCGGGGCTGATGCTCAACCGGATGATGACGCCGCCGCCGCCACCCATGGAGGAGCCAATTCCACAGACCGGGCCGCCCTCCTCTGGTATCTTCCCATTTCCAGCTCCAAACACTGCGGGGATGGGTGGCCAGTTTCCTTCTTCTCCAGGTGGTGGTAGCGGTGGTGGTGGTGGCGCCAGCGATGGTTCTTCTTCGTCTTCCTCGGGCTCTAGTTCTTGGTACTCGGGATGGTTTGGAGGGACGAAGGAGGAGCCCAAGCCTTACAACGAGAAGCTGGACAGTTTTGAGGCGAATCCACCCCCGCCGATGCCCGGCTTCGAGGTGAAGTGAGCGAGGGAGGTCTGGCGTGGACGTGTACATGCAAGGACTTCGCGAGGTACTTCTCTTTTGTTCTTGTTTAGAAGTGAGATTTGCTTCCAAGTTTTGCCTTGAGAGTTTCTCGAGGTTGCAAGGACTTGATCTTCGGTTAGAAGTGAGAGTTCCTTCCACGTTTTCCCTAGAGATTTTCTCAAGGTTTGCGAGGACTTGATCTTTGGTTGGAAGTGTGGCTTTCCTCTCTATCTTTGTTTACTCAGAGTTAGTTACACTGCAGACTAAAAGTTTTTTTTTTTAGTTCTTCGTACACTGTAGATTAAACGTCTCGAGTGTTTCCAGTTTTTTTTTTAATTCAAGAGGACTGTTCCTTTGTGTTACTCTTGCAAGCCAGTCTGTCGGTACTGACTGTGATTCGTTTACAGATGGCTCGTGGTCCGGCCAGCTTGGCCTCGTGAGTGATGCGGTCTCAAGTCGTGTGTTCTCTTATTTCATTTTTACTTCCATCGTGGAATACTTTAAAGTCTGTTCTTGCGCTTCCTTCTCTCTTTCTCTCCTCTCTGTTCTTTAGTGTCGGCTTTGTATGCTTCGACTGTCGTGTTGTTGCAGGCGCGCCATGCTACGCGATAGCGAAAGCCCAGCAGCAGGTTTTGTATATCATTGTACCATGGTTTTGATCGGTTTTTCTAACTGAAGCATGTTTTCCGCGTGCTTTTCCAGGAGAAGAAAAGGACGAAACTTCTGGTGGCCGGGTCAGTGCTGGTGGGTCTCGGTCGTACTGCCCACGTTTTTGAACAGGCAACGGGTGCTACAAAAGGCAGCGGAGCCCCCTTTTCTTCCCCAGCAGCCAAAGCTGCAAATCTTTCGGAAGGACGACTCGACTCTCTGATATGGGAATCTCATCGCCAGCTCTAGCAGGGATTGAGTATAGCCGCTCCAGCTTCATCATGGGTGACAAGCTTCAAGCTTCCTCTTCTGGTTCCTCGAGCAGGCGGAATTCTGGGAGGAGGATGGTGGTCGCTGCACAGTCGGCTGCGATTGATAGCCACTTCGTTTTGGGATTGGATTACAGTGCCTCCAAGCAAGAGATCAAGCGGGCTTACAGGAACCTTGCGCTCCAGGTGTGTAGGATCTTTGTCAATTATGTTTGCTGGTGTTCTGATCTCGTTATTCCTTGCGTTGTTTCCAGTACCATCCGGATGTTTGCAAGGGGACTGGGAACGAGCACGTTTTCACTCAGATCAATCTTGCCTACGAGGTTAGCAGTTTAACTTCTTTGGTGGTTTTGTTTCTTTGTGCTTAGCTCTTTTGTTTCCTTGTTGCAGTGCTTGATGAGCGAATCTCAAAGCCAGCAAAAGCTCCAGGAAAACTCGAGAGTGGATCCAAACTCCAAAGCTAGAAGCGCTGGATCCATGGAAGACGAGTGGCTATCCGAGGGCTACACGTTTGAGGAGATTTTTGGAAAGAGCCCGTGCTACCAGACTGTCGATGAATCTTTGTTCCGCGAGGTGGAAGAGAGGCCGAGAAGAAAGGTCAAGAAGAGCAGCTCTCGCGAGGATTGGTAGGTTTGCTCTATAGTCAACACGCTGACCCGTAGACTGGCGCTGACTGGCAGGCAAAACAGATAAGAGGGTGTTACATTGAAAAAAACACCGATTTTTGTGTAGAAAGTAAAAACTACTTTCTACTTTCTAGTAAAAAGAAAGTAAAATAAGAAGTGGCTCTATGACGAGCTGCCACGTCTGGAGCGAAATGTCAGTATTTGATTGGCTCACTCTTTGTTGATAACACATGATCGATTTCTTCCATTTTATCACCGAGTCATGGCATCAGCACAGGTATGATCACTCCGTGTTCTTCAATCCCGATCGATTCATTGTTTCTCTTTGGTTTTCTAGAATCCTTCTTCCACTGGTACCACCAAGTTGGCCGAGGAGCACGCCAAGAATCTATCAGCCGAGAATGAGAAAAAGGAGAGCGCGGAGGTAGTACCGTCAGTGGATCGTCGATCCGGTCCAGGCCAGCACCAGCAAAAGGATGCGATCCCGACTGTGGTGGTGCACGAGAACGCGGATGATCCTGCCAAGAAATCTGGAACGAAGAGTTGAGAGTTCCACAGCATAGCTGCTGCTCATAGTTTTTGATTGTGATCCAAAAATGTGGACAGCGAATAGAAGATGTTAGTAGTATACATACAGAGACAATGGTGCCTTAGATGAGCCCCTGTCGTTGTAAGTCGGTGTAAGTTTTCTTGTTGTAAACGTTCCCGTCCCTGTCCTCGTACTCCTCTTCCAGGTCCGGGCGCCACTTGTTCATGCCCGACCGCTCCTGGATGATCTCGTACAGCGCCTTTGCGTCCTGGTACAAGATTGTCATTGTCTGTAAGCATAAAAAAATGAAAGTAAGTACCTTGATGGAAGTAATCTCATGAAAGTTTTTCGTGTTTGGTATTCCTAAGCAGCGCATGCCGTGCTGATGCCTCCATTCTTTGAAGTGTCGTTCGAAGGCCCTTCGCCCCCAGTAGCTGGAGTTTCCACATATCTCGCATTTGAACTCCTGCAAAACAAAGGAGAGGAGATGAAGGCTTGCAAAAGAAGGAGCATAACTTTTTACCTGGCCCAAGCCGTGAAGCTTGTACAACCAATATGGAATCGGCTTCCCGTCCCACCCCATCGGCAGCTTCAACGGATTGTAAAACTGCTGCTCCTCTTCCTCGCTCTCACTTTCCGGTTGTACTTCCACTTGCTGTGAAAGATAATGTTAGCCAAAGGCTCAAACGCAAAGAACACAAACTTACTTCTTCCCGCTCTTCTTCCATTTCCTCGTAGGTGAATGCCTGCTTCTTCTCCACGTGGCCCTTCGTCTCCTCGATGGCCTGTACCAAAGCGTCAACGAAAGAATAAGGGTAATAAACTCATACCTCATGAAGTAGCTCAGTCAAGCGACGTATCCGACATTCGTTCAATGCAATGTCCTTGATATTTGGAAGAGACTCGTCACCATTCTTTTTCGGTTTCATTCCTTTAGCGAAGTGCTTACTGTCAAGTTGGTCCAGTGGTTGTAGCTTTGTAAGCCAGAGCCGCTCCGCGCGTTGCTGGACAGTTCCTCCGCTTTTCAGGCCCAAAAATGCCAGTGACTGCAAAGAGTTGATGCTTGGTCAAGTCACAGAGAAGAAGAAACTTACATACCTGTTTTAGCCTCTCTCCCCCAAGCTGCACAAGCTCTTCAGGAGAGTGATAGTTATCAATATTGATCGGATTCAAATTCTTCACTCCTTTGTTTTCCCAGCCTTCTACCTTCCCGGCGAGCCATCGCTCCTCAAACTCTGCCTCGACCTGAAAAAACGCGAAATCAAAGGATGAACAGACAACGCAATCAATGATGTTGTACCTTTGTGAGTTTTTTCTCAATGTCCTGTAGGGGCTGAGTTCTCTGGTAAAAAGACACAAGATAATGCATCAGATCCTCCACGTATTCAGTGTACTGTCTGCATGATCGCTAAAAGTGTAAGATGCACAGAATAAAAGAAAAAAAACTTGCCTTGAGAGCTTGTGCATCTGAGGAATTTTGTGCAGTTGAAAGAAGGTCTCGATGTAAGCCGAGTACTCCAGCTGCTGCTCTTTATCCTTCTTCTTCACGAAGCTCAAATTCACGTAGCGTTGATGCAACTCGTGCAGGTCGAGAAACCGCCCATACCCTTCCTGCAGAAAAGGTAGAGAGGATTCACCGCGAGAAAACAAAGAAAATAAAACTTTACCTCTCCACTGAACTCGATGTAAGGTTCTTCCTGGAAAACTTGTTCCAGATCATCGACTTCCATGGCTTGGAGTGATGGGTGTCGTCGATGGTACTCGCGAATCTAAATAGAAAGAACACAATCGCGAAAGATGAGCTCAAAGAAAACAATCCATTTATCTTTCCTACGCACTACTCACCTCCTTGAGCCGATCGTAGAAAGCGCTAAAGACATTATTCTGGCCGGGAGCGGTTTGGCCTCCAAGCGCAGCAATCTCATCACTCCTGGCACCATCAGCGTCTTCGTAGATATCCACCTACGATCAAAATCCACCCATGAAGAAACCGAAGAAATGGAGCTCACGCTTACCAGCTTAGAAGTCGCCAGCGTCATCGCTTCCAGCATCATCTTGACGCGATGACTCTGGTACAATCGATCCTTGTGTGACTTGACCTCCTTCTGGAGCTCCTTGACCACCATTCGCTCCAAACGCTCGATGTCGTCATGCGCAGATCGAGCTTGCTCCAGCAGCGTGGCCGACATCGTCTCCTTCCTCCTGCTCAAAACCCTAACCCTAGGAGCCCAATATCCTGCCACGTAAGCATTTTTGTTCCCCTTTGCCAAAAGCCCTAAGCCTCTGTTTCCAAAACTCCTAACCCTAAAAATCCCGCCACGTAAGCCTCTTTGTTTCAAAATTTCCCCTTTGAGTGAGGTTTTTGCTATGGCGGCGCCGGTGTGCGTCCAGCATGCCTTCTCCAGCTCGCCACAGCAATGCGACATCCAAATGCGGGCTACCGGCGGCCAAGGCAGCGCTGGATTCTTGGCCGCGAGGAGCGCCAATCCAATCAACGATAGGGTTCGTCATCGCCAGGCCAGAGTCGCGCTGCTTGTCAAGGCGTCATCGTCGCTCAAGGACGGGGAGAGGTCCACGGCGGCTACTCCAGCGGACGATCGCAATGCGAGCCAGTCGAGCGGCGAGAATGTGGTGAGATCCGAGGAAATCAGGGAGGATGAGGAGGCCGTGTCTGGCGATGCGGCTGTCAAAGGGACTGTTCTTGCGGGATTGCTGCTTATCGGCACGGTGGGAGGATTTGCCGGGGCTGGATACTACTACCGGGATCAAATAAACGAATTTTTGCTCCAGTTCGCGGATGTCATCGAAGGTATGGAACTGTTCTATTCGATTCTCTTGCTTTTATCTGAGAACTTTTTTTTTTGGGAATTTTTTAGCATATGGACCTGCTGGTTATGCTATCTTCATCGCTGTGTATGCCGGTTTAGAGGTATGTCTTGCTTTTTTCATAAGAAAACTAGAGATCTTCTCACTAGCCTACTCTTGATCGTTCAGGTTCTAGCGATTCCGGCCATTCCACTCACAATGTCAGCTGGATTGCTTTTTGGTACGCTGACAGGAACAGTGATTGTATCGGTTTCTGGCACGGTAAGTGGTCATGCATGGAGCAATTTCTTTCTTTTCGTCGATCGTTCGAACTGATTTTTTTTTGTTTGGCTTTTTCTCGGATTGTTTTCTAGATTGCAGCAACGCTCTCGTTTCTTATCGCTAGATATGTTGCTCGTGACAAGATTTTGAAGCTAGCCGAAGGCAACAAAAAGTATATGGCCATTGACAAGGCAATCGGTGAGAATGGTTTTCGAGTTGTTGCTCTTCTTCGGCTCAGTCCCCTTCTTCCCTTCTCCCTGGGGAATTATCTTTACGGTTTGACGTCCGTAAAGCTTGTTCCTTATGTATTGGGGAGGTACTTGATTCTTTTCCTTGGCAAAACCGTTGCAAATTTTACTTGTTTTTTCAGCTGGGTTGGCATGCTACCAGGAACTTGGGCTTATGTGAGCGCAGGAGCATTTGGTCGAGCTTTAATCGTATGTTTGCTTTCGTTTTTCCTCTAAAAATGCTTGTTTTTTTTCCCTTCCATAATTTTACAGCAAGAATCAGAATCGAAATTGCCGGGAGGTCCCCAGCAGCTCGCTACGCTTGGATTAGGATTGCTGGCGACAGTAGTTGCTGCAGGATATGTTACGAGACTAGCCAAGGTTAAGGTTTTCACATCATTCGGCTATCGTGGTTCTAACTTTACTCATTTTTCTTCTCTTTTGCCAGGATTCTATAAAGGACATCGAGTAAAGAGAGAGTGAGAGAGAGCGAAGACTGTATAGGTACTAATTTTGTACGTCTCTAACTGTATTCAATTTGTATATAGGAGAAGTCACAAAATGGCTACCCTCATCCTAGAACATTTTGTTTGCAATGGAGAAAAGAGAGTGTGAGTTTGAAAATTTGGAGTATCAAAGGGGATTTGGCAATCACTTTCGAAGCGAGGCTCTGCAAGGTGCTCTACCAAATGGACAGAACAGCCCTCTCCACTGCCCATATGGTTTGTATGCCGAACAACTTTCGGGAACGGCCTTCACTACTCCAAGGAAACAGAATTTCAGAAGGTACTCGCAATTCTAGCAGTGGATTTTGCCAATTTACTCTGTAATCATTTTGATTCAGCTGGCTGTATCGGATCAAGCCATCTGTTGGACACGAACCATTCCAGCTTTATTCTTCTCCATCTCTGAACTTCGCTGGCGTTATTGATAAGGATCGTTTCCTCACAACGCCAACGCAGTTGCGGTGGAAGCCTCTGGAGTGTCCAGAACATCCAAGAGACTTTGTTCATGGCCTCTTTACAGTGTGTGGAGCCGGAAGCCCCTTTCTTCGACACGGTTACATGATCCATATGTAAGCAATCAGATCTTGTATTTTTGTTCTCTCTAAGGAAATTTCTCGTGTTGCAGCTACGTGGCAAACAAATCCATGGAAGACTGTGCGTTGGCTAACGCTGACGGGGACTTTTTGATTGTTCCACAGCAAGGACGTAAGAACTAATTTTGCTCAACTCTTCTCGTTTTTATCTGCATTTTGCTTTCAATAACAGGTCTTTGGATTAAAACTGAATTCGGGAAACTGCAAGTTTGCCCTGGTGAAATCGTTGTTCTTCAGCTAGGAATGCGTTTTGCTATCGAACTACCAGACGCAACCTCTCGTGGCTACATTCTAGAGGTTTTCAGCGGGCATTTTCAGCTTCCGGACCTTGGCCTTATTGGTTAGTTTCAAGATAAAGAGGTTCTGACGTTATTGTTAGTTCGCCACAGGTGCTAATGGTCTTGCTGAAGTCGGAGAGTTTGAAACTCCTGTAGCGTGGTTTGAGAATAAGCACTGCGAGGCTGGTTTCACCATTTTCCACAAATTTGGAGGCCAGATGTTTTCAGCAAAACAAGAACATTCCCCGTTTAATGTCGTAGCTTGGCACGGCAACTATGCACCATACAAGGTAAACATTTGAAACTTAGCAGGAGGTCTCTAAAGTTCTTTCTTCTGTCTTCTCTATTTCATACAGTATGACCTCAGGAAATTTTGTCCAGTTAACACGGTGTTGTTTGATCACGCGGACCCGTCTATAAACACAGGTACCAGCAGACCTTTTCAGATTTTGTGTGTGCTTCACCCGGGTTTCGTGTAACCTGTGCAGTTCTCACAGTCCCTTCGGAGAAGCCCGGCATGGCGGTGGTCGACTTTGTGGTATTTCCACCTCGATGGTCAGTGGCGGAGCACACATTCCGACCGCCATACTTCCACAGAAACTGCATGAGCGAGTTCATGGGGCTTATCTCCGGCTCTTACGAGGTAGACAATTCCTGTTTTCTCTCCAAAATGGTTCATCCTTGTGGTTCTTAGGCCAAGGCGGGCGGATTCCTTCCGGGAGGTGCGAGCTTGCATTGCTGCATGACACCCCATGGCGTGGATGCTACAACTTACGAGGTATTCTCGATCCTTTGTCTAGTTCTCACGCTATTTCCATGTTCTTCTAGAGCACGATCAGCGCAACATCACAGGAACCTGTCAAGGTGTCGACCAACGCTCTAGCTTTCATGTTTGAATCGTCGCTCACTCCCCAAGTAGCGATCTCGGCGTATAACTCACAGCAGCGAGACGCTGAGTATCACCAGTGCTGGAGTGGCCTGAACTCTCATTTTGCGCTTGAAAGCTAGCCAAATCGCGACCGTTAGATCGGACGGATCACAGCCCGCCACATGGCTCGGAAAATCGCTACCGTCAATATCACATGGCTTGATCCAGGATCTCTTAACTTTAGGGTTTATTATCTTGCTCGCCTCTCTCCAAATTCACGCTAGGAGCGTGTTCTCCATGGATTGCGAATGGATGCAGTGAGAAAATGTGATGCTTCACTGGCCATTGCTGCTTCTCTGGCAATCTGATAGAATGCGTGTTGAAATTTCCTTGTTTTCCAGCGAAATCTCGGGCATGAATGGCCCTTGCGGATCGATGCGAGCAGATCCACGCCCTGCTATCCGCGTTGAAATCATGCCACAAGTCGCGCAATCTCGAGAAAGGCCAGAGGCTTCACAGTGATGCGATCCAAGACGGGGATGAATCGAACCAGTATTTTGGCAACGGTCTTCTCAGCATGTATGGAAAATGCGGTTCCATGGTGGACGCCCAACAGGTTTTTGATGCAATGCCTTCTCGAGATGTGGTCTCATGGAACGCTTTGATCGCAGGCTATGCCGAGAATGGGGATGAAAGGCTGGGACTGGAAGTTTTTTCCTCCATGCAACGAGAGGGATACAAGCCAGATGCTCGAAGCTTTGTTGCTGCGCTCAAAGCCTTGGCGAGCTTGGCAGCCGCGGAAGAAGGGCGAGAGATAGAAGGCAAGCTCGTCAAAGAGGAGTGTCTCAAGCAAGGGAGAATTCTTCACTCGCAAGCTCGAATAAGTGGCTACGAATCCAACGTTTTCCTTGCCAACACTCTGGTGGATATGTACGCGAAGTGTGGAAGCCTGGTGGATGCCCGGCGAGCTTTTGCTAGCATGCCTCGCCGGAGCGTTGTCTCTTGGAACGCGATGCTGCTGGGCTGTGCGGACAATGGCGAGGCCGAGGAGGGGATGGGGCTGTTCGAAAGCATGCAAAGTGATGGAAGCTGCGAACCGGATGCGAGAACTTTTGTGGCCGCGCTGAAGAACTGCTCGATCCAGGCGGTGAAGGAAGAAGCCCGGCTGGTTGACGGGATGTTGCTGAAGCTGGAGAGCTTGAAACGAGGGATGGCTATTCACGCCGAAGCGGCGAGAAGGAAGCATGACTTAGACGGATATGTGACGAGCAGCTTGGTGGATATGTATGCCAAGTGTGGGAGCTTGGGTGACGCGAGGAAAGTTTTCGAAAGCATGCCGCACAGAAGCGTGGTAGCGTGGAATGCATTGCTGCTAGGCTGCGTTGAGAACAGGGAAGCGGAGGTGGCGTTGGAGCTGTTCTCTTCTATGCAAAGTCCGGATGCTCTCAGTTTTGTTGCTGCTCTGAAAGCATGCATTCTCCTGGCTACTACTGATGGAGACGCTGGCCGGGTTTCTCTCGAACGAGGCATGGCTATCCATACTCGAGCTGCAAAGTTGGGCTACGACTCCGAGACCAATGTGTTAGGTACGTTGGCCGACTTGTATTTCAAGTGTGGAAGTTTCACAGATGCGATGAGGGTGTTTCACAGGAGTTCTCGTCGGCATCGAGTGCTGTGGAACACGCTGATACTGAGTTATGTGGACAGCGGCGAACCAGAGCTGGCTCTCGAGATTTTCCTTCGCTTGCGAGCCGACGACCCTGAGAGGTGTGCTCCGGACGCTCGAACGTTCGCAGCGGCGCTCAAGGCGTGTGGCAGTGTTGTCTCTATGGAGATCTCTGCGGTGATCCACGCTGATATTCTTCGACGGGGCCTTGAGAAGGACGGAGTTCTGGTCACTTGTTTGGTGGACGCTTGCTGCCGATGCGGAAGAATGGTCGCTGCTCAGCACGTAGTTGATGCTCTGGTCTCGGAGGACTTGATAGCCTGGAACGCGCTGCTAACGGGATACAGTCGTCATGGAGACCATGAAAGGGTCTTGGAACTGTTCGAGAGAATGCGGGGTGAAGGCTTGGAACCGGACTCCATCACTTTTATGGCCGTTCTCAGCGCGTGTGGTCACTGCGGCCTGGTCGAGAGAGGCAAGAGGTTCTTCAAGGCAATGGTTTCAAACTTTAGGATTCAGGCCGAGATAGAGCACTACCACTGCATGGTGGATATCTTTGGTCGTGCCAATCGGCTGGGTGATGCTTTGGAGACCGTGAGAAGCATGCCATTCAGACCGACTGCTGTGACATGGACGATTGTTCTCGGGGCTTGTCGCAAGTGGAAGGATGTGGTAGTCGGACGGCTCGCGTTTGAATCACTGCTAGCTATGAATGAAGCGGACACGGCAGCGTATATGTTGATGGGAAACATTTATGCGAGCAGAAATATGTGGACCGAGAAAGCGGAGATCGTCCAACGCAAGTTTCTAAAAGGTACGTTTATTTTGCAAGGGATAGAGTAGAGAAGAAAAAGGAACTTTGTGATCTTACCTCTGACTTATTCTTTTCTCGCAGTTTGATCACCTTTAATTCCCTTTTCCAAAAAACGAAGATCATCTGAAGTTATTTTTGGAGTCCCAGCTGTTATAAAATGACCCCAAGCTCTCGAGAAAATCTCAAGGAAGGAGAAAGGATGAGGCTTGCGAGTTTGCTCCTCGTCTCCACTCTGTTCGTTGCATGCTCCGCGATCAGTGGGGATCCGCCGGTTCAGATATGTATCAACGACGTGACGGTGAACATCTCGAACTATCTCCGCTACACGCACAGCATCGATCCTCGGCTCGACACTTACAACTACACGGAGGACTACACAGCGCCGATGTCGGATCCTCCTCCAGCTATTGTTCCAGCCAGCTTTGCTGCAGCGGCTAGCAAGATTCACCTGCTGGAAGGATCTTCGCTCCACAAAGTCCGGATCGACGCCGACTCGCTACAAGGCAAGGGCCAGCAGACGAATCTCGAGTACCTTCTCATGCTGGACGTGGATAGTCTGGCCTATAGCTTCCGCAACAATTCGGGATTGCCGACAAAGGGTGTTCCTTACGGAGGATGGGAGGCTCCAGACCAAGAGCTCAGAGGACACTTCGTTGGTAAGCTAAACTACATTGGAGTTTTCTACGTGCTTAGTTACAGTATTGTTTTTGTGATCCAGGGCACTACTTGAGTGCCACTGCAAAGATGTGGGCAAGTACACACAATGAGGAGCTGAAACGGAGGATGGATCATCTCGTGGATATACTAGATGAGTGCCAGCAAAAGATTGGGACTGGTTACTTGTCAGCGTTTCCTCTCAACTTGTTCACTCGTTTCGAGACGTATCGTCCAGTATGGGCTCCGTATTACACCATCCACAAGGTGAGTGAGTGTGTCATGAAAGCCGTGTGTTTACTGATTAAACCTTTCCTTTTTAGATAATGGCTGGACTTTTGGATCAGTACACCGAGGCAGGCAATATGAAGGCTCTCCGAATGGTCATTTGGATGGCACAGTATTTCTCAAAACGTGTGGAAAACTACATCGAGAAGTACAGCATTCAAGCTCACTTCCAAGCGCTAAATGAAGAAACTGGTGGCATGAATGATGTTCTCTATGACCTCTATAAGATCACGGTACCTTGTTTTAAGTTGGCATGGTCGTTACCAGATTTCTTACAATGCTTCGTCTTGCCTCGCAGGGTGATCCACAACACTTGAAGCTTGCTCATCTCTTTGACAAGCCATGCTTCCTTGGTCCATTGGCTCTGCAGCAAGACACACTGTCGGGTTTCCATGCCAACACTCATATCCCAATACTGATAGGTGCACAAAAGCGATACGAGCTAACCGGAGACCAAGTTTCCAAGGTAACTACCAGAATTAATTGACTTTCAAGCTCACACTGTCGTGTAGGAGCTGGTCACATTTTTCATGGATGCTGTCAACTCGTCGCACCGCTTCGTCACCGGAGGAACCAGCGATAATGAGTTTTGGAAGGATCCCAACAGGATGGCTTCCTCGCTTGGGAAAGATGTGGAGGAGTCGTGCTCGAGCTACAACATGCTCAAGATCGCCAGAAACTTGTTCAGGTGGACGAAGGAGGCTAGCTACATGGATTACTATGAGCGGCTTATACTCAACGGTGTTCTCACCATCCAGAGAGGAGAACCCGGAGTGATGATTTACATGCTTCCTATGGGCCCTGGAATGGCTAAAACTTCCAGCACTATGGGATGGGGAGATCCGTTTGATTCGTTCTGGTGCTGCTATGGAACTGGTGCGTATTTTCTTGCAAGCTTTTCGTTCACTAACTTGGAGAAAATTTTCTTTCATTTCAGGCATTGAGTCGTTCTCAAAGTTTGGAGACTCGATTTACTTTGAGGACTATGGTGTGAGGGACGAGAATCCAGGAGCACAGCGGCCAATCCCAGCACTTTACGTCGCGCAATTCGTTCCAAGCACACTGGAATGGGACTCGGCCGGTCTCATACTTAAGCAGACCGTAAAACCACTGACCTCGTTTGATCCGGTCATGGAGGTCACCATTCATCTGCACGAGGTAATTCTTTCTCGTTTATTTACTTCCTCTACTTTCGAAGTTACTAACTCATACACAACTTTGGTCAGAATCCAAAAGCAACTATTGAAGAAACAAGCCCGTACCACAAGCTGATCAACACCTTGTACGTTAGAATTCCGTCGTGGGTGGCAAGCGGCTACGAAGCGTATTTCAACGACGAGCCACAAGATATCACGCCGGGATCGTTCTTGGCGATCCAGAGAGAGTGGAAGGCCGGCGACAGACTGACATTCAAGTTCCCAGCAGAAGTGAGACTAGAACACATCCAAGGTATGAAAAATACTCTCTTTGCAAATCTGCAAATCTTCTAACTTTCGTGGTGGTGGTGGTGTGCTTTTCTTTTCTTCCAGATGATCGGGAGGAACACCAGAGCTTGAACGGGATCATGTTTGGACCATTCGTGCTGGCCGGTTTAAGCCACGGTGAATTCGACTTGGGCCCCGTCGACACCTCGTCTCCAAGCGACTGGATCACTCCGGTGAATCCCAGCGACAACGATCTCTTGTACACTTTCCGGATGGGAGACTACCAGCTGGGACACAAGCACCGCACCGTGACGATCGACTCGGCCAGCACCAACGGCACAGACTGGGACTTCCAGGCCACTTTCAAGGTGATATCTTCTTCGTCTCCATCGCTCGCTGCTAGCAAGCATTCCGGACTGGTGGGAAGAGTGGTCTCTCTGGAACTCATGGATCAGCCAGGAAGGATCATCGCCCACTCCGGGATCAACAAGAACTTGGTGGTGGTGGACACTTCCCAGTTCGCGGACAGCACGAACTACTTGTCTCAGGCGAACTTGGGATTCAAGGTGGTTCCAGGGCTGGCGAGCGATAGATTGGTGTCGTTTGAGTCGCAAGATCTCCCAGGCTGCTACATCTACGTCGACGATTGGAGAGTTCCGGCGCAGCTCAAGTGTAGAAGCAAAGAGAACGATGGATTTGATGCCAAGGCGAGCTTCAAGGTGAGCCAGGGATTGAGGAGCTATCATCCGTTGAGCTTCGTCGCGACGAGCCAAGGCTTGAGGAATTTCTTGCTCTTCCCGCAGCTGGCTTACAGGGACGAGCACTACGCTATCTATTTTGATATGGTATAGTCGTATTGTATAGTTTGATATGATCTAGAGAGATGTAAAGGTTTTGAGAGATGGTTGCTAGCTAGAAATCATAGCATCTTCCAGCTTTCTCCCAGTCGCCATAGCGCGTTGGCTCGAGGCCTTGGGGTCCTCCCACCTCCTCATGCTCTACTCCTTTGCCATTCTCATTCTCGTTCTTATTACTCTCAGCCCTAGTGCTACTCAGTTCTTCCTTTGGATCTTCCTTGGAATCGCGCGCATTCTCTTGGTTCTTGGGCGCCGGCTGCTCGATCCGCGCTGCGCCAGACGACCAGAGCCTCGATTGACTGATCGCCAGGCCGGCCCAACGACGACGCAACGCCATGGCCATGGAAGATCACAAACCCTAAATTCCGGAGAGGCTCTTTGCTACGCAGGAATGTTCTTACATTTTGATCACGATGGTGGCGCTGCTGCTTGCGAGGATGCTGGCGATGGCGCTGGAATTCCCAGGTATTTTGGAGGAGGAGGGCCTTTGCAAGCCTTGATAATCGCTTCGACCTAGGAGAGAAGAAAGCCCCAATTTCATCTAGTGAAGAAGAGACGAAGATTTCTGTCTCGCGATACCTGGTGAATGCGGATTAATCGCCTCCTCCTGTTGGCTTTCCTCGTATCATTCATCTTCCATTTCTTCCACACCAGCCCGCCAGTGATCTTCTTGACGATCTGCAGCACATTCGTGAACTGGACCATTGTCTTCCTCGCTAGAACCCTAAACCCCCGCGGAACTTGGAATGTGGTCAGCTCTAGTCAACGTCGGTCAATTTCTGGTCAATCCAGATTCTCATCTTCTCCCACCTCTCGCGATCGGTGTAGAAGTCCCGGAAATCCCACGACTCATCGATCCATCCCCTGGAGATTGCGTGCAGCCTCGCCTGGCGCGCGTGAAAATTGAGCGCCTCGCGCAGTGGCCGGTGATTCGTGATGAATTTGAGCCTCGCCCCATCGATTGCCGCGAAAGTGAGCGCGGCGAGCTCTGGATCGTCGCTGCCGCTCCAATTCCCTCTCGACTCCGCCACCGAGACGAGCAGCCTGTCCCGGATCGATGGATCCAGCACGCGGCACACGATTTGATCGCGGCCGCCATCGCTGCTCTCCGGATCAACCAGGAAACACAGCTGGAGGCGATCGAAGCAGTACTCGATCGGCGAGAACAGCATCAGGCCATTGGCTGGATCGTCGATGTCCTCCAATCCCATCACTGCCTGGGCAACGCGCGCCTACTCGTGCTTGAAGAGATGGGCGGC